GATAAGTACCTCCACATTGGGCATAACCACTAGGTTTTGAAACTTGCTGGGTCGGCGCAGGTGGTGGTAAGAAAGGTTGTTGGGGCCTCTGTTGATCTTGAGGGCAATGTGCAGCCCTATGCCCCATCTGTCCACAAGTATAACATCCACTGCTGCCTCTCCTACACTCCCTAAAATGCCTATTATTACATCTGCGGCATAAAGGAGCACCTGAACCATGAAAATCCCTATGCCTTTGAAATCTAGGGCCTCCAGAAAATCTACCACCTCTGAACATTAGAGCTCAAACCTGAACTAGAAGATCTGGAACTGACACCGCTTCTCTTAAAACTCTGAGTCTTGCGAGGTCTTTGAGAAGATTGACCTTTTACCTTTATCATCCTTTATTTGATTTCCTTCTATTTCTTCTTCCTGCTCACTCTCACTGTGCATATTTTCTGAATCCTCAATCTGCAGTAAAACCTCATAAAACTCCTGGTAAGTGGCATAGGGAATCGATGTCGCTATAGAACGACATTTCTTTTTAGTACCCAACTTGAAACGATGAAGCATCTCAATTGGATTAGCAGCAACATCCAGATCATAGCGAGACAAATTAGTGAACCTCATGTAATACTCATTCGCCGTCATCTTTCCTTGTTTCAGATGCGTAAATTCTTGTTTCTTGAGATCTATATACTCTGGAGGAACGAATCTTTTCTGAAACAATTGCTTAAACACTTCCCAATCAACTGCTACCTCTTGTGGCATCTGATAAGACTCATGTCTCAACCAGGATGCATGCTGCTCTCCTAAAAACCAGGTAGTCGTCTCAACCCATCTATCAGAAGGAAGGCTCCCCTGACTCTGCATCACAAGGAAAGTCTTCTCGACATGATTAAACCACTTCTCTGCTCCCTCATGTCCTTCATAACCCATGAAATGATTTAGCTTCAAATTATACACAGTCTCAAGAGGTGTCATTTGAGGAGGACGGAGCAAAGACTGAATGACATTAGCTATAGCTTTCCCTAACTGAGCAATATCAAGGAAACTAGGCTTAGCTGAGTGATGTGGCTCTCTACGAGGCGACATAGTCTGACAGAAAACACCATAATGATTAGAATATTCACGAGATATACAGGACTGCTAAACCTAGGCTCTGATACCAAACTGACACACCCTGACTTGAATTAGGGCATGCTGGCCGTCAAGTGAAGGTGATGTAGCCATGTGCACAGTGCAGAAGCAATAATGATAATAGAGAATACGAATAAATGAAAACCAACTCATAAGAGTACTAGTTAAAACAAGTGTTAGAATATGTGTGAATACACAATCAGAGCGTAAGTAGCCTAAGTTCAATCTAGAAAACAAGTACTAATTAAACGACACCCAAAGATACCCTACATTTGTGATAGTCTGTTAGAACCTCCAATCAATCCTCGTGAGCCACCAACGAACAAGCTTATCTAAAACTTGGAGGGGTGCAAAACAGAAAGTGTGAGTGGGCAAAAATAAGGCTTTTCAAAACCATTCATTTGTCAAATGCTCTAACCCCTTGCCATAAACATGTAAAATTCTCCCAGAAATATAATATATATTCAAATCATACTTCACATATCCATATTCATAAGTATGCCATGCCAAAAATATAAAACAGAATAAGTAACTCAGGTGAAAATAAATTCATGGAAAATAACATATTAGCCAAAACCGCTGTAGAGGTCTGTACGACTGAATTCATAGCTCATTAGTCAATCTAGTCGGAGTCACCATAAGTGACCTATACGGCACGACACTACACACAAGTCGGAACCACTATAAGGATTTGTACGACAAGACTGGGTGTAATATAGTTATGCTTAATGCTACGCTCTCATGATAGTTGTGTGATAAATCGCTAGTCACTTACGAGTTGAAACCACCTATAATGGTCTATACGATAAGACTGTGCACCTAAATTGGATTCAATGTGAGCATATGGTGCGGGAGGTGACATCATAAATAGGCATGTACCATATCTCTGACTAAATCATAATCACCCGGGGTGCAGGTTTATGAGCTCTCAATCATGTCTCCCATTATCAATATATCATATAACAAAACATAACTCACATGGTACTTACCTGAGCGTCCACATCACCAATTCATATTATGCATCATATACTAATTCATATGCTGAATATAAATTTATATGCATGGCATTTCAAAGCATACTTTCACTTAAACACATTTTTTGGGAAAATATCAAGTATATAAATATATACTGAAAACCAAAAGCCCACTCATTGGTATGTCGAAGAGTCGTAGCCCCCGAGTCACCCTTGACTACGCTCGTCCTCAGGATATGTCTCACCTATATGCAAAATAACTGAATAAACGTTATTTAAAGCACATAGATAAAACTAGTTAATAATTTCTCATACATTGCTCAAATGAGATGTTTGAATATACCAACGTGATCTACACAACCTCGAACATCCCTATATTTTTAGAAAAATTTTCCAACGCCCTAAGCACCGCCACGCGCGGCCAAGGGCACTGCCAGACGTGCCTCCACGCACAGGTAACCGTGACGGAATCCTAACTGCCGTTAGGAATATTCCATGAAAAAGCAACAGAAACCGTTAAATCTACCTGACGGCGTCAGAATATTCCATCAACTTTGATAGAATATTCTATCTTCATATCCGATTAGCTTTACCGATCATCGTTGCCGTCGCCGTCCGCCGGAAACTGGAAAAATATGTAAAACCTCATATCTCTCTCATTATTGCACCAAATTCCATGAAATCTTCACCTAAATGAAGCTTACAACATAAGGAACAAAACCTTACCAATTTTGGGACCTGAAATTCTTGAGAATTCATCAGAGATCCTTCGATAATCCGACCAAACTTTGAACTCTTCGATCTCGACTTCCCGACGTCCAATTCACCTCGTTTTTCTTCTCCGAGCTTCGTGGAGAAGTCATAAAGCTTCCTAGAAGCTCAAAAACCATTGAAACCTTCACATTTACATGTGCATGAACAGTGCACCAAAACTGAGTATCTCGGGTTCTCGGGTTTCGAAGGTTTCACGACCAGAAAAGGGTATGGTTAAGCTTGTGACGATGAGATGAAGATGATGATGGTAACTACGACCTTGATCCGTGACGGGAAGTGAAGCTTTAAGGTTGTCCGTACAACTTGTACGGAAGATAGAAGAAATCCGAAAGGGAAGAGAAAGAGTCAACGGGAAAGAGTGTGTGTGTGTGTGGTCCACGTGGGTCACCCAACCAAAACCAAAGAAAATACCATCTAAGTCCTAATTGGTTCCAAAATAATAGGACTTAGCACTAATTGGTCCAAAATCTAACCTACCACACCACCACACAAAACGTCCAAGGGTATATAAGTAATTTCATGCCGTCGAAAATAAATATTTCGGGATGGGCTGTCACACAAAACCTTACCACTTTTAGGTCCTAAAAGTCAAGGAATCTCGCTGGAAAAATCACGATAATCTGGCCACCCCTGCAACTCACTAAATCTGAGAGTTCTAACGTCAAAACCACTCCAAAATTGATCCCACGTGCTAGAAAAGCAAGAATAGAACTTTCTTAAGTCTCAAAACTACCTGAAACCTTCGCGATCACGTCAAGTCACTGTGCACCTCTTCGGGGGTTTCCTGGTTCTCGGGTTTTCGAGGGCCTCACGTCTAACCAAAAGTATTGCTCGACTCCTGAACTTGAAAGGAGTACGAAAGTCACCTTCACAGCCTCGATCCGTGCTTGGTGAAGCTCGTTGAGAGGTCAACCGTACAATTGTACGGAAATGGAAGAAAATTCTGAGAGAGAGAGAGAGGTCAACGAGTTTGGGTGTGTGTGGTCCAGCTTTGGGCTACAAAACAACAACAAAGACAATTAACTTAAGTTCCAAAACTTAGGAATAAACTAGATTGGTCCAAAACCTTAGCCCTTTTACACGCACACAACTCAACGCTCAAGGGCATAAAAGTCATTTCACACCATCGATAAAATATTTCGGGATGGGCTGTCACAATATATATAAACATGGGTATCATCAAAATTAACGAAAAAATTTATTGTATCAAAACATGGGTACATTCTTCAAAATCACAAAAAAAGAAGATACTAGGCTTAATAACATTAGTAAATTTCTTCGATTAAACTTGACATGGATACAATTTAAAATCAAAGAAAAAAGAATGTATCCATATAAGTTTAAAAATGGATTAGAAAAAAAAATTGAATAGATTTTATATAAAAAAATGGTACATTTTACATATAACAAATTGGTATATTTAAGAATGAGTACATTTTAAGATTAAAAAGTTTTACATGAATGGGTACATATAATTAGCATGGGTACATTTAGCAAAATAAAAAGTACAAATAAAAAAAATATATGGGTACAAATACAAATAAACTTTAAAAAATATGGGCACAAAAAGAAATTAATATATGGGTGCAAATTAAAACTAAAAAGAAAATTGGTACAAATTAAAAAAGAATTACAAATTAAAAATGGGTACAAACTAAAACTAAAAATATATGATAAAAAATGTAGTCATAAATATAAATATACTAATTGTAACATTTTTAACATTAATTGAATATATTTAGAAATAAAAAAATATTTATTATTGAAATAATTAATAATGTTATTAATACCCAAGGACCTTCATCAAAAATTGAAAAGGAATAGGATTTTAATCAATGAAATAGCAAAAGAAAGGATGAGAACCTAATTTCTCCATTTTTTTTTTCAACTTATTGGACTGAAATTTATTACATACACAGGAATTGCTTAATGTCCACTACCAATCTGAAGTAGAAAATGATATCGTTCCAATATTCCGCAAAGGAGAGGTCTGAAGCGACGTCATTAATTATTTTGGTTTTATTTATAATACAACAACAACCGAGTCTTATCGAGTGAAATGCTATGGAGACCACATATTCTACATCTTGTTCATTTAAGTTCTAATGCCCCATTTTAACCAACTTGGTTAGGATCAACCTTTTAAATCTGATTCCATCCAAATATGTCCATATGTTTTATGTATTTGGTTTTTGGGTGTAAAAGAAATATAGAAAGGAACGCTAACTTTTCTTGTGAACAGGAATTCAACGTTGGTGTCGAGTTTGTGCTTCTGCTATCGTTTGTTGATACTGCATCTGGACATGCGGAAGAGGCATTGATTTCTTTGGAAGAACCGATTTTTGGATTTCCATCATCAATTGTTCAAACTACTCAAGGTTTGTTTAAGCTTAAAGTCATCCTTCGTTTTCACTCCTCCTGGAAACTACTTCACTTGAACCGAATTACAGGGCATTTCAATTGTGTTTTAACTCTTGTTTCTGGTTTGTTTTGGTTTTGTGTTTTAATACATTGATTCTAGCAGGTATGAATCTTAATCTCAGCAGCAAGGTGTACACGTATGGAGTAGTGATCAGATATCGGTCGTGTGAGCTCTCTTTGCCTTATTTAGATTCAGATACATGTTGTCTTCATTTTGCTGAGTGTCATTAACTGTATAACTTGTAGTTGACGCTTTTGAGATATTCATGGGAAGCTAAGAATAATAAGAAGTAGTCAATGTGTGGTTCAGCTTATTTATGTACCTGAATCCTAATTTCCCCATCCACTGCGGCATGAACTCGCATACAAGTGCATCCTTATACAAGATTACACTACAATTTTAGTACCTTCTGTATAGCATATAGAAGGTATATTATACACACTGCCGAGTGCATGCATTGGCCTTCTAGGATTCATGGAGTACTTGGAGCTAACACAAGACTTGGCACAAAACCAAGCGCAGTGGTGTTGTAAGATTCATACAGGCGACCTCACTAAGTGGAAGAAGGTTTTGTTGTTCCTATATAGCATATTCTTAGTTTTTTTTCCTAGCAGCTTGAATTCCGGCTAAGTTTTAAGGTCCAGACACATTTGGGATCATAGTTCTTAGGTTTTTGTCTGTTTCATTCAACCAACATATCTCTAACATTAATTCAGAAATTACAAAACTGCAGATATGGATGTCTAAGTTCGAGCAAATCATTCGGAAAACGCTTTCTGTGCATTTTTCAGTTCATCCAGTTGGCAATGTGATTATGTAGAGAGGATCCCTTGAGGTTTGTTTCCCTTATTCATCCAAACCGACTGAGTACCATACGAAGAGAGCTATATCTCATAATATTCACATGTTCCGTGCAGGGTTTTGAACATGCATTCTTGCTCAATCTGTTTAATTCAAGAACAAGTATATGCAAGCTGGTTTCTCCATCTTTGTTGTTTCAACCAGTTACTCAATCCATCTTCTCGAGAATCCTCATACGGAATCAAATTAATCTAATCAGTCCAGTTCTTAGAGATCACAAGCAAAAATGATAGAGTGTAAATTGTGATATGATGTGGCAGTTGTATTTCTAGCTCATATTGCTAGGATGATTAACTAAATTGTGTGTATGCTTTCTTATCAAAGTCTCATAGGTCTTAAACAAGTGAGTGTACATGTGTCTTCATCTCATAGGATGTAAGATGGATGGCTAGGATTGCTTGGATGTAATTTTGAATACTGCCAAAGTTAAAATGTAATTGCAGTTAAGAGGAGAGAGACTATTCCTCTCTCACTCTCAGTGGAATGATAAACAGTGTGTGAAAGAAGCATTATCAAAGTCATATTCTCTGCTCTCTCTCTCTCTCTCTCTCTCTCTCTCTCTCTCTCTCTCTCTCTCTCTTTTGCATCATCTTCTTCATTTGTGTACTAAATTTCATTCCATTCTCAGAAAGTATTTGTGAGTCACGGCTCACAGAGATAGAGTAAAATTCGTTTAACACTAGCATGGCCTCAGAGCCTAGTTGGGTCTGAATTTCTGGACGTCGATTTTGTGAGGGTTCATTCTAGCAACATTTCGTTGCAGAGAAAATCAGTGAGAGTGAGAGGTGAGATCTTAGTCTAACATGGCTGGGTCTGGTGGAGGAGAGCTTCGCACTCCGATATTCAACGGAGAGAACTTCGATCTCTGGCAAATTCGAATGAAAACAATTTTCCGATCTCACGAGCTGTGGAGCATTGTTGAGATGGGTTTTCTTCCTCCAGCGAAGGTGGAGGGTGAGATAGAAGCGGCGGAGATGAAATTGTATCGTGAAAATTTGGTCAAGGATGCGAGGGTTCTTGGAATCATTCAAGGAGTAGTATCGGATCAAATTTTCCCACGGATTGCAACTCTCGAAACTGCGAAGGCAGCTTGGGATATTCTGAAGCAAGAGTTCGTAGGAGATAAACAGGTACGATCTGTGAAATTACAAGGTCTTCGTCGTGATTTTGAGTATACTCGTATGGGTGAAAGTGAATCTCTAGCTGCATATCTAGCTAGGTTGTGTGATTTGATAAATCAGATGAAAAGTTATGGTGAAGATCTTAGTAATCAAAGAATTGTGCAAAAGTTGTTAATCAGTTTACCTAAATCATATGATAGTATTGCTTATGTTATTGAAAATACTAAAGATATTGATGTAATTGATGCACAAGATGTGGTTGCCATTCTGAAAGGGTATGAACTGAGATTAACTAGACATGAATAGAATAGCACTGAACGTACATTTGCTAGCTTAGATATTTCATGTAAGAACAGTAAATTTGGTAATCAACTTACCAATACTGGTGGATTAAAATCTCAAAAGAATTTCAAATTCAAAGGGAAGCAGTGGACTAACAGATTTACTCCAGGGGTGAGAAATGAAACTAATAACACTGGAGGTGCTTGTAAATACTGTGATAGACTTCACTATGGAGAATGGTGGCTGAAAGGGAAGATTAAATGTCACAAGTGTGGAAAACTTGGTCATATTGCCAGGGTTTGCAATCTTAACAAGAATATTCAGCAAGGGAATTTTGCGAATAAAGTGGGAAAGCAAAGGAATCTTACAAACAAGATGGGAGAACCTGGAAATCTTTTCATGGTTAAGCAATCAATTGAAGTGAAAGCTGTGAGTGAAGCCTGATATATAGACAGTGCGTGCAGTAATTATATGACTTCCAGGGAGGAGTTACTTGTGGACATTGATAGAAGTGTTCAGGCAAAAATGCAAGTTGGCACAAGGGTTCTGGTTGATGTGAAAGGCAAAGGAACTTTGGTTATTGATACTGATAAGGGAAAGAGGTACATAAAAGAAGTTATGTTAATACTTGGATTGGCAGAGGACCTACTCAGTGTTGGACAGATGACTGAACATGGGTATTTTTTGATGATAGAACTCTGACAAATTTAGTGGTTAGTGTGAAGCAAAAGGGGAATATATGCTTTCCACTTGTATTCAAATCAAATGATCAATTGGTACTGAAAACTAATGTGCATCAGTGTAGTACAATGTGGCATAAAAGGTTTAGTCATCTGAATTATAGAAGTCTGAAACAATTGTAGGAGCATGATATGGTTCTTGGATTACCTGAAATGCATGACATTGAAGGTGTGTGTCAAGGATGTGCATTTGGGAAGAATCATAGGGAGTATTTTCCAAGGGATCAGTTTGGAGAGCTAGTATGCCATTGGAGCTTATACATTCGGATGTGTGTGGTCCTATGCAAACATCAACAATAAGTGGAAATAGATACTTTGTTACATTCATTGATGACTACTCAAGGATGTGATGGATATATCTTTTGAGACATAAGTCAGATGTCTTCCATGTATTTAAGAAATTCAAGGCTATGGTGGAACTTCAAAGTGGCTACTTTGTGAAGAAATTGAGAACAGATAGAGGAGGGGAGTTCATCTCAAAGGAATTTGAACAATTCTATGAAGCCTTGGGTTTGGAGAGGCAACTCACTGTTGCATACTCTCCACAACAGAATGGAGTTGCAAAGAGGAAAAACAGAACCATAGTGGAGATGACTAAATGCATGATCCATGAGAAAGGCCTTCCTTATAATTTTTAGGGTGAAGCTGTGATTACAACTGTTTATTTGCTTAATTGATGTCCTACAAAGCATTGGAAAATATAACACTTTTTGAGAAGTTCAGTGGAAGGAAACCTGGAATTAAACACTTAAGAGTGTTTGGTTCTGTCTGTTACTCTCTTATTCCAGGAAACTTGAGACATAAATTGGAAGAAACGAGTGTCATTGGAATTTTTATTGGATATGGCACCTGTGAGAAGGGGTATAGACTGTTTAATCCTGAAACTCAGAAAGTGATACTTTCAAGAGATGTGATTTTAGATGAGAATGGTAAATGGGATTGGAAGAAACATAAGGTCAAGGATGTGTGCATTCCATTTCCTGCAAGTGGATCATTAGAAATGAAAGAAGATGATGAGGGTTCAGATTCTATGGAATAAGCTATGGTTGAAGGTTCTCAAATTCAAATTACTGACTCCTCACCTATTGACTCTTGAGGTGCAAGCAGCTCAATTCCTATACCTCAGTTTGATAACACACTATAGAGATATAGAAACTTGAGTAAGATTTATGAGAGATGTCATGCCTGTATCATTGAACCAGAGTGTTATACTGAAGCTGCACAAGATGAAGCATGGAAGAAGGTAATGGAAGATGAAGCATGGAAGAAGGTAATGGAAGATGAAGCATGGAAGAAGGTAATGGAAGATGAAATTGGGATGATTGAGAAAAATCAGACTTGGGAACTTGTGAAAAGACAATCTGATAAACCTGTGATTGGGGTGAAATGGATGTACAAAACCAAATTGAACTTGGATGGGTCAGTTCAGAAGAACAAGGCTAGACTTGTTGCAAAAGGCTATGCACAAAAGCCCGGAATTGACTACAATGAAACCTTTGCACCTGTTGCAAGGTTAGACACAATTAGAACTCTAATTGCACTGGCTGCAAAGAACAAATGTAAGTTGTTTCAACTGGATGTAAAATCAGCATTCTTGAATGATGTGTTAGAAGAGGAAGTGTACGTTGATCAGCCAGAAGGATTTTTTGTGCAAGGAGAAGAAGACAAGGTTTACAGACTGCATAAAGCATTGTATGGTCTAAAACAGGCACCTAGGGCCTGGTATGGTGAGATAGACTCATATCTTATACTCTGTGGATTTAAGAAAAGCACCAGTGAGGCAACTCTATATACCAAGTGTATAAGAGACTCATAAATGATTATAGTATCAATTTATGTTGATGATATAATATATACTGGAAGTTGTCAAGAGTTATTGAATGAGTTTAAATCTGATATGATGCATAAATATGAGATGATTGATTTGGGACTCTTGCATCATTTTCTTGGTATGGGAGTATTGCAAAATGAGGAATGTATTTTCATTCATCAGAGAAAGTATGCTTCATCTTTACTGAAGAAATTTGGACTCCAAGACTGTAAATCTGTAAGTCCCCATTGGTTTTAGGTGATAAACTGAGAAAAGAAGATGGAAGTGGAACTGCAGATGAAGCTCAGTATAGACAAATTGTAGGCAGTTTGCTGTATCTCACAGCAACTAGACCTGACATAATGTATGCAGCATGTCTGTTATCTCAATTTATGCATTGTCCTACCAACAAGCACTTTGGGACAACAAAGCGAGTACTAAGATATGTTCAAGGAACTCTTGATTTTGGCTTGGAATACAAGAAAGGTGAAGGAGCAATCTTAGTGGGATTCTGTGACAGTGACTGGAATGGTTCAGAAGATGATATGAAAAGCACATCCGGGTATGCTTTTACCTTTGGCAGTGGGGTTTTCTCTTGGTCTTTAGTCAAGCAACAATGTGTTGCATTATCCACAGCTGAAGGAGAGTATATTAGTGCTTCTAAAGCAACAACACATGCTACTTGGTTAAGATTTGTCTTGGAAGATTTTGGTGAAATGCAAACAGTCACAACACCATTGAATTGTGACAATACCTCAGACATAGCTATCACAAAGAATCCTATCTTTTGTCAGAAGACCAAGAATATCAGAAGATACCATTTCATAAAGGACGTATTGCAGCAAGGAGTGATCGATTTGGTTTACTGTCTTACAAAGGAGCAAGTTGCAGATATTTTCACAAAGGCATTGGCAAGGGAGCAATTTACTTATCTCAGGAAGCATCTTGGAGTGAAATCAGTTCACAATTTAAACGGGGCTGTTTGTGTGTAAATTGTGATCGGATGTGGCAGTTGTATTTCTAGCTCATATTGCTAGGATGATTAATTAAATTGTGTGTATGCTTTCTTATCAAAGTCTCATAGGTCTTAAACAAGTGAGTGTACATGTGTCTTCATCTCATAGGATGTAAGATGGATGACTAGGATTGCTTGGATGTAATTTTGAATACTGCCAAAGTTAAAATGTAATTGCAGTTAAGAGGAGAGAGACTATTCATCTCTCACTATCAGTGGAATGATAAACAGTGTGTGAAAGAAGCATTATTAGAGTCATATTCTCTGCTCTCTCTCTCTCTCTCTCTTTTGCATCATCTTCTTCATTTGTGTACTAAATTTCATTCCATTCTTAGAAAGTATCTGTGAGTCACAGCTCACAGAGATAGAGTAAAATTCGTTTAACACTAACAAAAATGTGTGTATCGTACTGTAGGAATATACGTATTTTTTCTTGTATTTTGTATTGATTTATCAGTCAAACCTCTTCAGCGCTTGTTGCGGCTTGGAACATTAATCTTAGTAGAGTTTAGTTATGTACAAAGCTTCGCCGCTGAACGCTTGTTGCGGCTTG